ATGAAATATTTCAAAATCTAGCCTGGTGACATAGACTGAAAAAATCATATATTGTTAATGATGGAGTACTTTTTGTTGTTCTGAATTATTAAAAAAATCTGGGTATTAAAAAGTGTCAAAAAATGCAATTTTTCTTTAACATTGTGTTCTATGGAATTGTTCTCAAAATAGCAATTTTCAAGAACTATTAGAACACATTTCTCAAAAAGCATAACTGTAATACACAAAATAATGCTACTTCATTGTACCATGAGACATTAGCTTCATGATTGTACATAATAAACTTATGAACATTGTCATACGATTTATGACCAATTTTGTCAAAAATTATGACTAGGCTCTTCTAGCTTAATCTCAGTATATGATGAAATGATTCAAGTTACTGACAGTGTAACTTCCCCTGTACCTGTAACATCAGGAAAACATTCTGCATCAATTGAATCCATGCTACAGTAGTATATTTCAGTCAGTTACATTAATAATCATGAAATGTTCATGATTTGCACTGTATCTTAAAAAGTTAATCATTTTCTAATAAAAACGATATAATATAAGCCACCCTAAAAAAACTATTTATTATTGGCAGAAGCACAGGTATTTTATTATAGTATATATAATGTAGTTGCTCAATTATTGTACATTCTGGTGCTGCAATATCAAAGTAAATTATCAATGTTCAAGTACAAATCTGTTGATTTCAAGAAAAAAAATGACAAGTTTTCAGCTTTGATGTCGAATTCCTTGACAACTGCAAGTCTAATTGCTTTGATACTTGGTGTATATGTACCATTGGGCAGAGCTTTCTCAGATTTGTGCATTTCATGAGAATATCCTCAATTCTCCAATTTTGAAAGATAATTTGGTAATTTTTGGTAAAAAGTGATATTTTCGACTTTTTGTTGAAATCTGCGAATCCGATTGCTTTGATTTACATATAGGAACTTCAGGTAGACCTCTCTCAGATTTGTACATTTTGTCAAATCTTCAATTCTCTAATTGAAATGTGCATTGCTGCTTGTTTAAAACACTGGTAATTGGGCAATTTTTGAAGTTTAAGCATGGTTTCTATGGTCTATGCATTCAAAATATATTCATGGTGGCCGCTTTATTATATAAATGTGATCACCAGTATTTAGGAAAAGTCAAACAATGATCAAAGATCAAGTTTTAAGGTTAGACGATCAGATTTGGGTCATTTTGGAGGGGATGGTCAACGTGACCCAAAAATGGAAATGTCCCAAACGTGGGGCCAGCCCCTGCTTAATGTTGACCACAGCTAAAAAATATAATTTGATTTATTCTTTCCTGGAAAAATAGTAAAGTCAGGTTAATTTTGTTATCTGTGCAGATTTTCTATCAATATTGGACTTTTCTTTTTTTTACTTTCTTGAACAAAAGTAAAATTTTATTTGTGCCACATTTACCGGTACTTGAATTATTCGTAATTTAAAATTGGAGTCGTTTGACTATTTACTTAATAGTTTATCTGAAATTTTCAATGCATTTTGATATTGGTTGTTGTTTCCACTTCTCATTTACAGCGAGCGCAAGATATTTACATACACCTAACTCGCGCACCCGCTAGGTAATTACCGAGGGACTTTGCAACATCCCCAGACACTTTGCTAGACGCCCCAACGACCGTTGTAGACGCAATAAAGTTACATACACTCTCACGTGACAGTTAATCAAAACACCGGACGCAGTATGCCTGTGATGTGTGGGTAGTTGGAATATTCCATTGCTTTGTTGGTGTATCTAGCCGAAGAACAACGAAGAAAAAAAATACGAATTGTGCAAAAACTGGGTGATATTATGATTGAATAAGCCACACAAACAGTAAAACACACTTTAATTTTAAAAGATTGATCATTATTTGAAACTCCAGGGAAACGAATTGTTTTGAAAACAAAATAATCAACAATAATCTAACCTCAAACTAAGTAAAGAATTCAAATAATTTCAACGGTTTTATCTCTCCATCCAGTGTTTCTATTGGTCAACCCTAACCTTGCAACAGTTAATTTTAGTGGCAGACCTACCCCATACAAAAAAATAATCAGAGATCGACAACGTTTTTGAAGAAAAAACATGTTTATTTATCAATTTACACTTTCCAGTAAGTTTTTTGATAAATCTCCACCAGCAAAAATTTTGTATATTTTATAATGTTATCTAGTCTATGGCAATTCCACAAAAACGAAAGAAATTGCGTGACATCAAGGGCGTTATTGATGCAAGTCCGTCAATAATAGCAGTCTCGGTAAATAACACGGCAAACATATCATTTTCATTTCTCGTAATTTTCTCTTCACTTGACGAAAACACATTTCATATGAATTAAATTTAGGTGAGTATGGTGGTTGAAAAAGTAGCATAACATTTCTTGTTGCCAACATTTCACGATGCGCTGGTTCAGTTATTCGGCCATGGTGAAAACCACAATTATCCATCATTACTGTATCGCCTTGTGACAATACATGTTGCCCATTCTCATCGAATAACTCCATGGTCTCTTCAAAAAATATTAAGCATTTCGAGTCCATTGGAAGGATCGCCTAAAATGTTGAAGTTACTTACACCTCGGGCATTGTGTAAGAGGTTCACTGTAAAATTGACGTCAGAAGCATAGCGTTGAAACTCGACAGCTCTTTGACCGTAATTGCGATTTGACGTCGTTCTCTTCATACCAGTCTCGCCGCAAAAGTGCAATGTTTGTGAATCAAGCTGTGAAACAGTGTCTATATATTGTAATATTCGTTCCATATTTCTTTCAGTAACTTGCTCAGTAGGAGTTTGACTTATTTTTTTGAACGAATAATTCAAATCACTTTTTATTATATGATGTACCATACGCATCGAAGACAAACTTTCCTGTACGCAAATATTTTCCCTCAAGAGAGACATGCGTATTTCGTTTGCCGTTAGGGATGGTCTCTGTAAGAGACGAAATTTCATAAACTCAACGATTTCCTGTGTAGATTTCAGTCGACTACGGCCGCTACTCTTGTTGGAATGTATCCAACCGGTGCGATGGAAATGCCTCACAATCCCTTGGACCGTTGCCCTTGCTAGTCCAACTTCCTTGGCGATCATTCGCAAACTATTTCCATCAAAGAAAAGACGAATAATCTAATAATAATCTAGCAAAGTGTCTGGGGATGTTGCAAAGTCCCTCGGTAATTACCTACCGGGTGCGCGAGTTAGGTGTATGTAAATATCTTGCGTTCGCTGTAATTTGGGTTTTGAATTTCATTTACCCGGTACTTTTGAATGGGTACAAACATTCGCTTTTGAGTCAACTACCCTAGGCCTACTCCAAAAATGAAATATTTTCTTAAATTTGTACACATTCATGCTATTAGATTATTTGTATCATAATCTAAAGTAAAGTTTGCTCCATGATCCCATAGTGCATTGGCTCAAAACCCTTCACTGGATACAATGCATGTTGTAAATATACTTTTCGTATTTTTTTTACACAGGGTAATTACGAAGAAATGATGAAGAGATATAAACAGTTGTTGACATATATAAAGGTTGGTGCTACATTCTGTTACCTCACTCGTCTCACTTAGTGCCTAGGGTGACCATAAATTGTTTTTTAGGGGGTGTGCTTTAATATATAGTCGAGCACCCTGCTTGAAAAGTTATGCAAATGACACTTTTAGTTCACCTTGTACAAGACTAGGGGCGAGTATTGTGTCTCTTTTGGGAAAATAAAATTGTTATATTAGTTGCATTGCTATTTATTACCACAACTCTTTTGCAATGGAGAAACAGAAATGTGTCGTTTTATTTCAATATTATTTATGTATCACAATTTATGATATAAAAATTATTAGAGTCTGTGGGAAAACAGTTAAGTCAAGATCGTCATCAATAATGCTGTCCTTGTTTAATTTGTTCGATTGAATGCAAAAAACTCTTGATGTATTGTAATATCCGCCATTATGTTTTTTGCATGACCTGTGAACCCTGTTATTAATCAATCAGAATGCTGTGTTGTGACAACACAATTCTCTGGGAATCATTGAAGGCATTCTGGTAACACCATGCAGTCGCTTAGTCAAGCATGGGTGCAAGGTACAATTGTAGATGACACAGGGACCATTTATTACGCTGTAATGATAACGTTAAGCTGCCTTCCAGTACTCTGCTTTTTTCACTATTCTGAATTCTTCAGATGAGCTGTGAACTTATAGCAGTGATAAAAATGGTGTCGTCAAAGGATTTTCTTTCTCCACTTACTCTTTCAACATGTGAATATCATGATTTTTTTTGATACTTGGTGTATATGTACCTTCGGTAGACCTCTCCTACATTTGTTAATTTCATGATGATATCTTTAATTCTCTAATTTTGGTGAATATGTTGGTGATGTTTTCGACTTCTTGTTGAAAAAACCGCAAGTCTGATTGCTTTGATATTACATATATAGGTACTACAGATGGACCTCTCTCAGATTTGTTTATTTCGGGATGATATCTCTAATTTTGGTGAATATTTTTGTAATTTTTGGAAAAAAGTGATATTTTCGACTTCTTGTTGAAAACAGCAAGTTCGATTGCTTTGATACTATACATATAGGGACCTCAGGTTGACCTCTTCTAATGATATCTTCAGTTTTTTAGTTGAAATGTGCATTGCTGACAGCAGAGCCATCTCAGCTGTGAGGCTGCTTGTATATATTCATTATACATCATGTCATAGATCTACAGATGTATTGGTTTGATGCTCTCATTCAAAATGGCCAACTGATGGCCATTTTGTTTTAAATAATGCTGTTCCAGGCAATACCTCTCAATATGAATAAGTACTTGTATTATATATATTACTATAAACAAAACTATACAACTTAGATTTGATAACTAACAGGCACTGTGCCATGCATGGCTTGTTTATTACACACTATGTGTGCTGCGCTTAATACTTTCGTCAATTTCAGTTGGAAGCATTCGCGCAACTGTTTGTTATTTCTAAACACAAAAAACATGGTGCATCATGTAATTTAACTATAGCTTGCTCTTGTCCAATCAGAAAAAACATTTTCAGTCAATTAAAATGCTGGTATAATTTATTTTGTAACTTATCCGATGGTATGAAGATTCATTAACTGTAGAAAATCAGGTATTTGACTGGAATCATTGTGAATCCACACAAACAATCAAACAACAAATCAAAATCATCACAATATTGCTAGAAATCATTTAAAATTATTGGTTTATGACATATTTCCCTCAATTCAAACAAACAAATAAATATTTCACAGTATACATTGCAAGACATCAATATATCTCTAGGAATGAGTGCAACTATAATGTACTAGCAATTGCAATGTTTTATTTCTGTCCTTCTCTTAATAGAGTGCAGTTACAAGGAACTACTCAGAGAAATCTATCAATTCAATCTTAGACTATATCTCAACATCCAAACAAATGGCATTACTACAGAATTTCTATGAAACTACATTGGAAGCACTCCGAGATGCCAAGAATGACCGGTTGTGGTTCAAAACAAATACTAAGGTAGGTTTACATCTGTGTACTGCCATATCATGTGATTACATGACTTACATGTACACCCTTGAGCGTACATGTGTTCTGTGTCTTGATATGAGCTGCATTGGTTTGGAAATGTAGAACACATTTTTTTTTTTTCATACTTACTGTGTAAGAATTACATTCATTGGTATTTGATCAAAGCTGTAGCAAAGCCCCACGA